AAAAGGATCTCTCTCTCTCTATATATATATATATATATATTACATAGATCGTATATGTTATAGGATATTAATTTGCTATAAACTTTCCGTAATGAGATGATATTTTATTGTATTCAGGTCTCCGAGAAGCACTTAATGTCAAGGGCTGCACTGTTGAACAAATGAAGACTATCTTCATTAATTACATGATCTCAGGAGTTTGGTTTCGTTTGAGTATGTCAAAAGTCAAAACAATATGTCTAGACCTATAATGAGTTTTAAGGACAATCCGCTCTTTTTCTTCGTTAGTGTACTTGTCTCTACTTACTACTTTGTTCAGTGAATGCTTTTACTTAATTTCATGTAAGAATGCTAGTTTCCCTTGTTATCTTTTAAGTTTTAATAACAACAGTTTCTGTCTTTCTAAGTGATTGAGATCAAGAATATACCATATTTGCTATTGTTTTAAGCTCGATCAGGAGAACAATTATCACCATCCTTTTTGATAATACTATCTAGAATATTACTATATAAAATTATAAAAACATTAATCTGGAGCAAAATATAGTGTAATTCCTGTAACGAGAAAATTTCTGAAGAAAAAATGTCGAGATATTTTTTGTTAAAAAAATAAATTTATAAACATAATAACTAATTATAGCAACTATATATTTAATGCATACTACACCCTCTTTTGGCCCCTCTTACAAGAAAACTATACGTGTATTTTTTTCCTGAATTATAAGAAATATAGATCCACTTTTACATATATTAATCGTTCAATTTCTTTTATACCATTGTTTTATTGGATAGTCAATGTTAACATGATACTTACTCACTTTCCATACAAGTTGATGCATTCAAGCTTGAATGATTAATTATTGGAGCAATTTTTATCTTTTTTGCTTGATGAACATGAAAACTCACGAGTTAAAAATAAGAATGATTTAGTGTTATTGTATATATAAGTCATCACTTAAACCATCAAATTTTATAGGTATTTTTAGAATAAAATTTAATTTTATGATATTATTAATTAAAATTAATCTGTTTAAAAAAATTTATTAGTACGAATTAAGTTATTTCCTATAAAAAGGAATATACCAGTGTCAATAATATCTTGAAAAAGCCCGTGTTATCCTATTAATAGTGTATGTCTTGAGATCAACTTTAGTCAAAATAAATCTAGAATTGAACATCAACTTTCAAGTATATGTAGGGTTCGAGTGGAGCAAAAGATCAAATGCTAATGGATTAGGCACTTATATATCACATGCATCTCAGTACATATCACCACCTAAATACATCTCATAGAATTCTTTCCTGGACTACACAGTGGCATGCACTAGAACCAACTTTGTTGAATTCACTTAATCACTTAACATAACGTGTGACTATTAGAAATAAATAAATGGTGTAAATTTGAACTCCCAAATTGATGAGTTCAAACCCCCAAATATCATAAAATAGTTAACTATTTTGTGAGATTAATTTTACCTCTAGAGATTACTCTACTAGCTAGGAAGATAAAACTACAAGGAATTCAGATAAAAGTGTATTATATATAAGTTAATTTTTATTACTAGTTAAATTTATTGAATTTCAAATTTATGAATGATGGACATTAAATAAGAAGTAAGGTTGAAAAAATTTATGTTTTCTAATAATGTAATTTAATCAGTAACAGAAAATGTATTCAAATCGTGTTGTTGACATTTTTGATAAAATAATATGCTTTAAACTCGATAAATTTTCACTTACCAAGAACCTTTCTTGATTAAAGCCTAACTAATAAAGAAATCACTAAAGTTATCTTCAAAAGGTAGGAAGTTTGAATTTTTCATTACGGTAATCTTAATTTATTAATTAGTTTCTCTTAATGATGGAATTTGTTAATGGTTATTAGTTTACTCAAGCCATGCAATTTTCAGTAATGGGATGTTACAAGCCAACAACACATTAAACATTCTTTCTTTGAATTGCTGAAAGATTTCCAAAACAACAATGTTTTGGTGGGGTTATAGATTATTAGAAAAAGTATTATAGAGTTATTATTAATAATAAAGTAGTAGTAATTAAGAAACTACGCTCAAGGAGAAAAAACTGGAGTCCTAGAGATTCCACATAATGCAAAGGATTTGAGCATATATTATTCCACAAATATCATTATATATATATATATATATATATATTATTTCATAACTGAAGATATTCATGTTATACAAAAAAGTACTTCAGGATATTATAATTAAAAAAAAAAAAAAAAGCTATTTCATCTAATCCCCATACTTATTAAATAAAGAAAATAATGCATATTAAATATATTTTTTTTTGTTTTAAGAATATTAAATAAATTGTTTTCCTCCTTTGTTTTCATTATAAAATATTATTAGAGAATTAATAAAAAATATTAAACAAAAATATACTATTTCTCTAACTTAACAAATCGAAGCTAGTAGCTATATTCTATTTGCTTTAGATTTTATTGAATGTCTACCAATGTTAAAAGAAAGGTATATAAGAAAGGTGAAGTACGAACATTTTCTTTTGGTTGTCATTCTTGGAGACAACAATTTGTAACGTTCGGGTCTTTAAAATCCAAACAATCATTTAATGAGTTTGGTCAAAAAATATAAAAAAGATCCGTTTTTTTATAATTTTTTTTTTTAATTTATATGTGTAATGTATCAATAATTTTCTTTTACAAATATGATGAAATATTAGAGAGGAAAAATAAATAAATAAATAAAAATAAAGACTTCTTCATACTTTTCAAAGTAAAATATCTAAGACTAGATTTGGTCCTGTACCGATCTCACTCCAACTCATAAATTAACAAATGCCTTTTGGAAAAGGAATTTTTGGACCACCATTTTGGCATTATGGCATCCCTATCTCAACATACAGGAATCTCCATGAAAGCACTAAAAATGAACCAGCAACTTTTGCAGGTTTCCCTTAAAAAAATTGATTAAAACTTTTATTACTATTGAGTATTGACCAGTTTGTGTGTTGTCCCATTAACAAATTACTCGCGGACAAAAGAAAAAACAGATATCACAAAATTAGATAGGTATCAATGGCTGTAAGAAATCGCCAAGACTTGTACAAATACAAATTCTGAAAAGTTTTAATTTGTTCGAGGAAACTAACACCAGCGATGAGAACAAAAAAAAAACACATTCCATAGATAAGTTCTATGGATTAGCATCTTTAGATTCTATGTGAAAATTAGAATAAGGTTTCACAATTATAGGGTTTTTTTTACAATAGTTCTTATTACAGACTTTATTACTGAGTGCTGATGGATATTAAAAAATCATTATATATTTTTACTTGAATGAAATGAAGAGAAAGGTAGTTTAGGTAGGGCTGGAGAGGAGAGTAGTGAAGTAAACTAAACTAGGTTAAGAAAGGAGAATATTAACAGTATATGTAATATATATTATATAAAGAGTATTATATAGTATAGTTTTGTTGGTAAGTCTGACAGTGAGAATCCGAAACGTCAAAATCATGTCTGTTAAGCATTGATTTCTTTTGAATGTCATTTCATGTCTGACTTTCCCGGCCAGCCCACCACTTACTGCCAGACCACAGCCGAAGCAGAGCCCTCCCTTTTCGCACTCGCCCCTCTCTTGAAGTTAATGCCATTTTTGTCTTCCAACGTATCAATTTCAAACTTTTCTTATGCTGGTGCTGCATCGCAACCCATCTTAATTAATTCTATTTAATCATATTATTTTTTAACTAAATCATACTTTTTAACTTTATATTCAATTTTTTTTATATTTTATAAAATTTATAATTTTTATCCAATTAATGTATATTTATAATTGACAACTAAAAATGTAATATTAACTACTATTTAATATTAAATAAATGATGTAATAAGTATTATTTTATAATATTTAAATTAAATCATATTTTTAGTTTTTAAAATCTTATTTTTAATCATATTAACACCTCGTTTGGTATCAATGAAATGTCAGTGAAACAGTAAAAAAGTTGAAAATAATTGTCGTTTGGAAGCAGAAAAATAAGAGTGAGAAAATAAAAAAGTGTGGGAATTTTATTTTTTTAAATCAAAACAAAAATAAATAATATATACTTAAACATCATTTTCAATTGATTAAAACATATTGACAATTAATTAAAACATTATTTTATGTGTAATCAAAAATATTTTTCATTTAGTTAATTAAATATGAATATATGGATTAACCCGATAAAAAATTGTTTTAGTTTAACCATGAGTCCATGACATACAACAACTTATAAACTAAAAAAATTATAACATTATTGTCTATTACTACATATAAATTTTTTTTGTGTACATACAAGCATGCATGCGCACATTTCATGCACATGCAAGAACATATGTACATACATAAGAATGCAAAATATTTGAAGTTTCTTGGTAGTTAGAAGAAAAATAAAACTATAATATAATCAATCGGTAAATTTCTTTTATAATGGTCTAAAATAAGAATGCATATCCCTTAAAGTTAAATGGTAAAGTAACAAAATGATTGGTTCAAACACTATTGGACAAGAGACTTTTAATATTGATTAAATTGGACATTTTATGTCAATTATGGATTCATCATAGATCTTAGTGGCATAGAATGTGCAAATATCTTATGTTGGACAAACACCCAATGTGAATTCCCAATATCCAACAATGGTATCAGAATTAATGATTTGACTAAGTAATTAGTTCGAACGAGTGTTTGGTAATGGAAGACAATGAATCCAAGTATGAGATCTCTTATGTCAAAAATTTTATTTAACAGTGTGGAGGTCAAGTGTTGTGTCTTGTTGATGTGAGCTAGGTCAAGCCATGAGAGTCATTGATCTAAGTTATAATGGCAATGCAAGTATATGGAGCTTATGGAGGTAATGACTAAGCTTTAAGGGTCACCATTGATTTGAGTTATAACATGCAACAAACACATGTATGTCTCCATTGGTATGAAACTTTTTGAGTGATGACCAAAAAACAAATTCATAAGGATTTAAGTTTAAAGTGGACAATATCATACTAATGTGAGTTTATATTCCTTTTATTTTTTATTTTTTATTTTTTTTTAACTTGTAAACAAAAAACAACATCCAAACAATTCAATACAGACTGGCTAGTAACAACCTTATATATCTCATTATATATGTATACTTTAATAATTTATGGATAAATTAAAGCAATCCAAACTATATAAACTATGAACAAATTAATATTATGCTAAAGTTGACAATATTGATAATAAACTAGAATCAATCTCATAACCAGTTTATACTTCATACATAGAATGTATGTAAATTAACTACACATCAAAACGAAAGTAAACAAGTTCATACATAACTAAACAAATCATTGTTCATATGACCTTTGCAACGGGCATAGGGACTTGAGCATTATGTTCACAAAAGTTTATAACTTTCATCAATCCC